CGTGAGGCACTAGTTCGATCCTCAGCACCATATAAAAAATAAACAAATAAAACAAAGATATTGTGTCCATCTACAACTAAAAAAAAAGAGTCCATAACTAACATCATCTTTAAGGGTGAAAGGGTGAATGCTTTCCCCTTAACATCAGGAAAAAGGAAAGGATGTCTGCTTTCGCCACTTCATTTAACAATGTCCTAGAAATTCTAGCCAGGCAAGTCAGGCAGGAAAAAGATATAAAAGATAACCAGAAAATAAGAAGCAAAAATAAAATATAAAAGTTAATAAACGAGTGTGGCTGCTAAGGTGGTTGATCATTATGGGGAACATAGGAAGTTTAGGAATTTGATTTCTGATTGTTTTCCACTTTCCTGAAACCAAGGTTATCATCTGATCAAGAGAAACTGATGAGTTGAAATTTGCTATTACAGAAAATGAAAAGATGGAAGTTTGTTATAAATGATAGGGAAAGTACTCTAGATGAGAGAAAGGTACACAGTAGAACTGCTAACAAGAGTCAAAATGAAGTCAATGATCTTGATGTATGAATGAGCAATGGAAATTGGAAGAAGAGAACAGACAAAAGTCTGTTCAGAGTCTGTAATACTAAGGCAATGAAAAGATCCTATGTGTGCCTACTGATTGAGGTAGATTTTTTAATGGAAGTTAGGGGATTAAATATATTATGCTCTGTTGGCTGGGGACTTAGCTCAGTGACAGAGCACTTACCTGCCATGCCTAAAGTCCTAGGTTCCCAGTACTACCCCAAAATAAATAAATATCCAGCCCAGCTTGGTGGCCCATACATGTAACCCAGTAGCTCAAGAGGCTGAGGCAGAGGATCACAAATTCAAATCCAGCCTCAGCAATTTAGCTAGGCCCTAAGCAACTTAGGGAGACCCTGTCTCAAAATAAAAAATAAAAAGGAATGGGGATGTTGCTCAGTGGTTAAGTGTCCCTTCGGTCAATCCCTGATACAATTAAAAAAAAAAAAAAATTTGTTGTTAAACAGACTCAAGACTATTCCCCACTGGAAATAGAAAAGGTGCAAGCCAGATAAGTAAAGCAAATTAAAGGCGATTATTTCTCATAACAGTGGCCCTTTCTCAATTAAATACAAGAAAAAGGCTTTCTAGGTCTCCCCCTAAGTCCCATGGCCCTTTGATACTTCAACAGTTCATCTGTCCCACAATACTCTGTAAACAATTAACATTTTCCAGTCCTTTTTTTCTGGAGTGAGGTGGAGTGGTAGGATTAAACCTATAGGCGCTTTGCTGCTAAGCTACATTCCCAGCCATTTTTATTTTTTATTTTGAGACAGGGTCTTGCTAAGTTGCTTTGAGCCTCACTAAATTGCTGAGGCTGGCCTGAAACTTGCAATCCTCCTGTTTCAGCCTCCAGAGTTGCTGGGATTACAGGCATGCACCATCACACTCAGCTCCAGTCCATCTTCTTAGGCTTTCTCCAAAACACCACTTGCTGATATTAAAAGAGTTATTATGGGGCTGGGGTTCTGGCTCAGCGGTAGAGCACTCACCTAGCATGTGTGAGGCGGCACTAGGTTCAATCCTCAGCACATTAAAAAAAAAAAAGTATGAATAAAATAAAGGTACCATGTCCAACTACAACTAAAAAAAAATTTTAAAAAAGGGGTTATTAGAATATATCATCCTCCTTACTAAGTGTGTATGTGCCAATATACACACACACATACGAATGTGTATACACAGGCACACGTGCATGCGCACACGTGCACACACACACACAAATACATTTTTTAGGCAAGGTCTCACTAAATTGCCAGGCTGACCTTAAACTCAAAATCCTCAGCCTCAACCTCTTGGGTTAGCTGGGATTACTGGCATGCACCACCATGCCTGGCATGTTTGTTTAAATGCTTGTTTATAAGGGAAAAAATAATAAATAAATTTGCTTTGGTGTAAGAAAATGTATGAACCCCTAAGCTTTCTGAAAGCACCTAGAGATGCTTCACCATCAAGCTATATCTCGGACTTCATTTATTTATTTATTTATTTATTGAGACAGGGTCTCACTAAATTGCTGAGTGTAGCCTTGAACTTAATGTATAATTTATATTTACTAAAACCAAATCAGAAAAGTAAGCTTATATTCGCAAAATTCTTTGATCCTGATGTTAACTTGTAAGCAAATTAAGCACTATCCTACATGTTTTCCATAAAAGCTATGAATTAGTCTTGTCATCTAAATATAAGTTCTATGACATGTATCACCTATCTACTAAAATAAAATTTTGCCAGCACTATGAATAAAGAAATCTTTAGCTTGCTCTGCTTCCCAGCTGCCATAATGTAAGTAACTTTCCCTTGCATGCCCTTCCACAATGATGCTGTGCCTCCATTCATTCCCAACGCAATGGTACCAACCAACCACAGACTGAAACCATGAGCCAAATAAATTTTCCTCCTCTTAGAAAAAAAACCTTTAATGCTCAGTCACCTAACTTTTCTTTTTGCCATTAGCAATTTTTAGGCAGGGAAGCAAGAAAGGAGTGAGCAATATTAGAAGCCATCAGCACTAAAGAATGTCAGTTAAACAGATCAGGAGTCACTGATTTACCCAAAGCAATCTAGCACTTTTTATTTTTTTTTTTGGTACTGGGGATTCAACCCACTTTATCACTGAGTTACATAACCAGCCCTTTTCTATTTTTT